CAGTGCTTATGGATTGGACAGCTACTGTGTAGATTCTCTAGTGCTTCTTGACTTCTAAACTTGAGTCACTCAAGATAAGATAAGTCAAATCCATGCATGCACTGCATGTTGGTCTGCAAGTTACTTGAAGGAAACTGCAATTGAGCGCAACAGGGTTCTCCTATCCATCCATATTCTCCGTAGAAGTTTTAAACCTGGAACTGAACCAAATCACAACATTATGTTTGTTTTCAGCAAGAAATCTACAAGACTGTGTACTTCGCATCCGTTGTGACTGAATTAGCTCTTCATCCCAATTAGCAAGTGGCGTAGCGTCTGGGCATGCAGGGTATGCAGGTGCATATGGGCCCGGGCAGTTTGAGGGCCCGCTGGGAACTTTTAATTGAAACGAGGGAACGAATAGAGCCCTGCAAGGGCCCGGCCCCGGCCCTTGTCCAACAGCTTATGAGAATTCTCGGCCCGAGACTGGATACCGTGACGTTTTTCTCTCTCTCGTCCCCATTACACAGCTATTAATAGTTCAGTTTTGGTTTTTAATGGCAAAGTGGTCATATTTATTTTTGTTTCTTTATTAAGTTATTTTAGAAATATGTTTGGAACATTCGCGGAGAGTGGAAGCTAAAGTGCGCTCTGCAGGACATGGCGGCGCCAGCGCGATCACTTGCATTTTTTTTTTTTTTAAATAATAAGGAAAACAAGTAAAATAAGGAAAACAAACAGGATGCGCTTTCTGTCGTCTTGGTCTTGCGCAGGAGCGCTTCACAGACATGATAAATATATCTATAGAATGCTCTAAATTACTATTTTAAAACGAAATAATTCAAATCGAAAACAAAAACTCTATCATTATGTAATCTCTAAAGATGAATTTCTCTCTAAAGGCACGTCCAATGAGGAGTTCATTCATTTTTGCAACATTGACTCAGAAAACATTAGTTTATTAACAAATAATTCAAATATCCCCTCACTATTTTTTAAAAATTCAGTAGCCTATACTGCAGTATTTTTGTGCCACGTTTAAAAATAACGAAATAAATAAGATTAACGGCATAATATTTTAAGAATAAAGTAAAAATTACGATAATAAAATCATGTTGTATTGCGTGAAGTTAATGTGAAAATTCCACCTATAGGCCTCCTCCAAAAAAAAAAAGTCTGTGGCATAATTCTTTTGACTTTTTTTAAAACTCTGATCGATTCATGAGACATTCGTTTGTATTAAATTGAATTAAAAGGCTGAGACTTTGTAGTAACAACGCACAAAGCTGCGATTATTGAGTGGCTTGCGTGCTACAAATAATAAATGGACTTGAAAACTTTAAACATCATTTCCAAGCATTAGCCTATACCGTAAATAAAACAGCTTGTGAATAGTCACGATTCACGTAACGTTATTTACTTCAGAAAAATCAACAATAGGGCCTAAGTTAAGTTAACTTAGTTGGAGTTGGAGCCCATAACGTTTGAGGGGGCCCGTACAAATTTTTTGCATATGGGCCCGGGGCTGACTCGCTACCCTACTGCATCAAGCATTGCGAATTATATAATCAAATCAGAAATTACAAGACAATTCAATACTTTTAATTATAGATATGAAATATGTTGTATATAATTAGATATAATAAAAAAAATAAAAATATATAAAATTTGTGTGATATTATATTTCAATTAATTAATGGAATATCTAAATATAATAAAAATATATTTTAATTAATTAATTAAAATGTTATTTCATTTTAATTAATTAATTCAGTGTTATTTATTATAAGTATAAAATACTATATATATATATTTCTAAATAATTTGCAATAGACTTTTGCAATACAAAAATAAATATATTTATATATACTTAGTCGGTATTTATTTATTTATATTTTATTAGATAAGTTTATTGCAAAATATTGAGACAAATTACAAATAAATGTTCAAGAGTTTAAGAAGACTGGTACAGTTGCATAATTTGCAGTGCTGAGCTCTTTTAGTGTGATTCCTGTTTCCATAATAATAGTGTCTTCTCTGATTCCCTTTGTTCTGGTGGATCTTTAGGATTGTATGTAATTTACATTTATATTTATGCATTTAGCTGATACTTTTATCCAAAGCGACTTACAAAAGAGGAACAAAGCAATTCATCAAAGCACTACAGGTATTGTAGTTCTTCAGCAGGAGTTGGACAATTAAAATTAGATTTTGTACAATATGAAGTTGATTTGTGAAGGTAGTCTTGATTTTGTGAAGAACAGCCCTCTAGTGGAGAACAGGATGAATTATGGCTTTAGACTGGATGCCTGAAGAGATAGGAGATCAGTGTTTATTAAAAACCTTAAATACATCCATCAGATACCAGAGGCATTTCCTGTGTCCTGTTTTAGTGTGTGTGTGCGCATAAATTCAACTAGTGCAATGTCAATATGATGCTTTTCTCATTGCATTTACATTTATGCATTTGGCAGATGCTTTTATCCAAAGCAAATTACATTGCATTTATAGTCTACATTTGATCAGTTCATGCATTCCCTGGGAATCAAACCCATGACCTACTGTTTGAACTGGCCATTGTTTAAAGGAATATTTCAGCATTATTTACTCATCCTCAGATCTGTAAGAGTCCTCATGGAGGTCCTATAGCTCAAACAGTGGCGCAAGGTTGTGGGTTCGATACCGAAGTAATTCATGAAATGATAAAATGCATGCATTGAATGCAATGTAAGTTGCTTTGGATAAAAGCATCTGCCAAATGCATGAATGTGTGAAAATTTTTCTTTTCCATATATCAGCAGTTCATAGTGACAATGAATGTAAAAAAAAAAACTATAAGTGCATCATAACGGTTGGCCATATCAGTTGTGCACAATACAGCATTATTGTAGTTAACTAAAACTGAAATTAAAATAAAAACATTAAAAAAAAAACTTTTTTGTCACTTGAAATAAAATAAACAAATAAAATTAACTATTAAAAAAAATTTAATTAACTGAAATAAAATATAAAAACGTATTTTATTGTTGCTAAAACAACATTTCTCATTTAGTTTAACTTCAAGTACTAAAATAACTAAAACTAAAATACTAATTTATATATATATATATATATATATATATATATATG